CCCAGCAACTCAGCATTCATGAGCCTCCTGGTACCTAGAGGAATATAGAAAAAACATTTAAAGCTATGTCTATGTCCAAATCTTTCCAAATCTCTCCAGATTGACTCAGGGGTTCCAATTCAATTTGGAGAGATTAAAGGATCTGATTCGATTCAGGTTCAGAGATTCAGCCACCAAATTGGGCCAAATCTCTGCTGAATCGAATCAGGGACTGAAGCTTCGCACAGCCCTATTAAGCACTCTCACAATCTTGCATGGAAGGGACAGTGTACTATAAAAGTTGTTATTGCTGCTTTAGTTAAACATTTGTTTTAAGTATCCTGTAATTGAGCACAAAATATGTTTCTGCTTGTGGTACCTTTCAGTAATACATTATTCAATAATATGCCAACATCTGACTTTCACTTAGTCTTTTTTTACTTTTTGCATTTTTAAATGTGTAAATACTGGCAGATAAAAGCTGTATGCTGTGAATGCTATAAAAACTATTGCCAACCTGTAGTTTTAGTTTTGGAAGCTATTTTTGTCTGCACATTTTACATTATTTTCAGTTTCAAGCAATAACATAATAGCAGTGAATTACTGTCCTTGCCATTCATTTATGTTATGCTGCTTTCATAATTTACTGCTTTTGGCAACACTGCTTCCCTTTCTCCTTCAGTAAGTTACTGTATATATTGACAGTGCATGGAAGTAATAAACTATTGTAATACAACTTTAAGGTTGAAATTTTCATTATACAAAAGTCAGTAAAATCAGAGTTAAAATTCCCACAGTAGTTATAACTCTGCCCCCTGAGCACATGCATTGTATTAGGGTATTATATTTACTTACTTATACAGGGAAATGCAACGTATTTTTCAACAGTAATATAATAAGATATACTGGAGAGGAGCTGCACTCCTTTATAAACTCATACACATTCCAGATAGTTCACGAATCAACTCTTCAGACTGGATAACATGCATTGGGACTTTCCTCCTGATTCCATATTTGCTACCTATCATCTCTGGCAGGGATGACTAGATCCAGTTTCACTAGAATTTGAAATTTCTGTGATTCATTTTGTGTTTCTGTGTGCAGGATATCACTTTTTTCTACATATCAGTATAACTTTTTTCTACATATCCACTAAAGTAAATAACAATGTTCTCGTTGACTGAAACAGTGCAAGAGCAAATTCTCTGTTCCATGAATTATATAATGAAATATCCTGTAGTCAAAATGTTTAGTCAAAAGGGAAAAGAGAAAAGCTTAATTCTGAGTTTCCTGACTCTTGGACAATTAAACCTCTCCTTTAGACTACCTGCATGCATATATAAACGTATTGACACATCATGCTGAGTAATAAACATTCCTATCCTATGACATTACTTTCCAGTCAACCTAAAAGGATTAGTTCTTTTATTAAACAATGCAAGTGTTACCTGAACCAATCCATTTCATCATACCAAACTTAACCCAGATAACATTTTTATTATGACTAAATGATTTTTGAGCTTTTGAAAGAACATCAAGCCACAAAATTCCAGTTACAGTTAAGCTTGTTGAAGGATAACTGTACTGCAGGTATTATTGTAAAAAGCTAGAGAAATAAATGTTAAACCTTATTATCTTAAAACAAACTCAAAGGACAGATAATAACTTGGAGATTTAAAAATAATATGCTAAATTCAGGCCAGTGGTGAAGTAACAACGCATTATATCTTCATGTTTAAGGGCAAGATTTGGGACTAAGCTTAGAAACCCTTGTTTCCTGTGTAGATGGATAATGAGCTTATCTTTGAATTAATGCCTGTGAATGGTAAGGGAAGATAGATGCTAAAATATCCCCTTCATCTGAGCCTGCATTTTGAATACTGTGCCACTGGCTGAGTTATGGCTTATCCTTAGAGAAGATCACAAAGCCACCCTTCTAGCCAAGTAAAGAAGGATGTCAAACTGAAACATGGAGGAACAGAGAAAAAACTAGTCCTTGAATCAAGAAATAGATAACATACCATGCTCAAAAGCCAATGGAGAAAAAAAGTGAATTATGTTAAAATATAGGTTTTGAACTTAGAACGTGCCCATCCAAAGGGGGTGGGGGAGTAGCAACCAGTGCTTCAGGAGTGGTTGCACCCCTGTTCCCAGCCCGCACCGCAAAACATCAGAGCAGGCAGACCATACCAGGGGAACAGCAGACAGGGACTTTAAGTTCTCAGTTAAGTAAGAATCCCCCCTCACTCTCCATACTGTCAGCACCTCCCCTCTATGCTCAATGGCACTTCCCCTCTACTTCCAATCTCTCCTCATCCCCTTTACTTATGCATGGACACATCTACACATGCAATTGATATGAAACAATAAACTCAAGAGCAGTAAATTCCAGAGGCAGAGGGCTCCATGGATCCAGCTGCCAGCCCAGGGCTGCTTCCCCCCAGCTCAATATGTGGCAGAGGGGCTGGTTAGGGCACAAGAGTGCTTCAGTGCAGGGCTAACTGGCAGGCAGTCCCCGCACTGAAGCTCCTTTGTGCCCCAGCCAGCTGGGGCAGTGTCCTATATGTGCACTGCTGTGGGGTTTTAGTTTTCTCCAGCCTAATAGGAGACCATGTGTAAACACAGAGATGTTTACTGCACAGCTAATAGTCTACTGCGCAGTAAACCTCTCATGTAGATGTGCTCCCTCTGGGCAAAGGAAAGGGAGACCTACCTGGCACTGCCACTATCCCAGGCAGTACTGCTCCCTGTCCATCCAGGGTTGCACAGAGCAGCTGTTTGGGGAGCTGAGCTTGGCTAGGAACAACAGTGGTGGCAGGTAGGTTCCCCCTTCCTGTGCCAGCTCCCACACTGGGAGGGAATCAAAAAAACACAGAAAAGTAAGGCTAGACCTCCATAGGTCAACTAATCCAGCCATCTACCTAAGGCAGGATCATCCCTATCCAGACCATGCTATACAAATCCATAATCTAATCTCTTACTAAAACTACAGTCAACCCTGACACAATACAAGATATAACACTCTCATTTGCTACAGGTAAAGCAGGGGGCGCATGGCAGCCAATGTCCTTCTTCTGTAAAAGGTTGTTAATACATGCTTAAGACAGCCCAGGTAGAGGGCCACATTTCTTGATACAGAGGAAGACAAACCCCCCCACAGTCCATACCAATCTGACCATGGCATAAAATTCCTTCCTGAATTCCAAATATGGAAGTTGGTCTGATCCTGAGTGGAGAAGCAAGACTGTCTAGCCAGGAGCCTCCAGGTTTAAGTCCCAGCAGAAGCACTGGCACATACCCATCAATCCCCAACCTTAGCTGCAGCCAACACTCAATGCCTCTGAGAAAGGCTTAAAAAAACCCTGACGTGTAGCAGCAAAGGCAGTGAGGGGGAGATTGGAATTTCCTCCCAGCCCCATGAGAAAAAGCCTAGAAGCATGGGAAATTCCCATAGTAGAATATATAGGCATAGATATGCCCAGATCGTCCCCAACTAGTGGCTACCCAATCTGTTCTTGAACACTGAACACCTCCAGCAATGGAAAGTTCACAACCTTTGTTGGCCGTCTTTCCCACTGCCTCATTGTTCAAACAGTGAAGAACAGTGATATTCTGTTACAGGAAATCAGGAGTAAAAGACTCCTGATATCCATGCTAAGCCTACTTTGCTGCAATTTCAAGCGAACTTCTGTGTCCTACTCCATACAGCAAGAGGGAGAAGTATTTTTTCTCTTCTCCATTGCAGCCCTTCAAGTATTTGAAGACTGCTGTCAGTCTCTACTATGTCCCCTCTTAAGCATCTTTTCCACAAGCTGAACTTACCTAGCTCCTTCAGCCTCTCCTCATATGATGTGCTTCCAAGCCCTTTGTTATCTGTATTGCTTACCTCTGGACCCTCTCTAACTTCTCCACATCCTTTGTAAAATGTGGAGACCAAAACTGTACACAATATGCTAAATGAGGCTTAGCCAGTGGCAAGTAAAGAGGCACTATGATCTCCTGCATCTTGCCACCTAATGCTTCAATTATTGCATCCCAAAACCTCATTTGCCTTTTGTGCACCTGCATCACACTGCAGACTCATGTTGAGTCCGTGATCTACCAAGATTCCCAGATTCTTCTCCATAAGGCTGCCATCCAGCCAGGTGTCACATATTTTGTATTTGTCTTTTTGATTTTTCTTCCTGAGGTATAGCACCTTGCACACTCAGGGAGACCGAGCACAGGATGGAACCTGGCCGCCACTACTCCTGCTGTCCCCAGCTGAGCCCAGCTCACTGGGCAGCCTAGTTGGAGTGGAGCAAGAACAGCTCTACTGCTCCTTCCCCTCCCCCCATTCCAGCTAGGCTGCATGGGGGGCTGAGTTCAGCTGGGGACAGCAGCAATGGTGGCCAGGCTCCTCATCCCTGTCAGGTCCCCTCCCCCTGGGTGTTCCCTACCAGCCCGGGAGCAGACACAGGAAGGCGGAACCAGGTTGCTACTGCTGCTGCCCCTGGCTGAGCCCAGCTCCCTACACAACCACAGCCAGAGAGGGCAAGAGGGGGAATGGAAGGGTAAGGGAGCTACGGCTAAACATGAAAGGGAAAGGATGGGATGCCAAGAGCATGGGTGGGGGGAGAAGCTGATTCTTACCTGATTGAGGTCTAAAAAGAAGTACCTGGCTGCTGCATCCCAGTGGGGTGAGAGGGGAGACTGGGAGTAGGGAATGCAGCCACCTTTGTAGTGCTGGTTGCTGTTTCTGCAAACCCCCATCCCTCCCCCAGGCACACACACCTTTTAAAATCATGGATCCACCTAGACATCCATGTACAGGGAGGGGTCTGTCTGTGTAATCTAATTGCATGATATGGCTCTATGTCTATAGCAGGATTAAAGACTTCCTGTTCATTGAGTAATAGGAAAAAAATGTTAAAAAGCAAAATAGTGTTTAAAACATGAGTTATATCCCCTCTTAATATGCTTTTTACATCTATAGGCACTTGGTGGTGTCCCAGGAAGTCAGCCATTATTGCCTAGTGGGATGGACCCAACACGGCAACAAGGTGAAGTGCCTGTATGCTAGGTGTTAAATGTATGTATAGAATATCACCCTTCTGTTTTTTTAGAAAAAAAACTCTGTGATGTAAGACTTGTACCTCTTATAAATTGTACTGCAGTTATATAACAGCTTTCACAGCTATGAGGTAGCAATGTGTTAGTGATCATTAAGAAAGTATCTAAATACTCCACAGTTGTTAGAAATACTTCTTTTTTCAGGACATCCAAACATGGCTGGGCCAATGCAGAGAATGACCCCTCCAAGAGGAATGGTTCCCTTAGGACCACAGGTACCGTGTGTGTGTGTGTGTGTGTGTGTGTGTGTGTGTGTGTGTGTGTCTCTTTATATATTACATATATAGCTAGTATTGAATTAAAATTTAAATATGTCAACAATTTTCCTTTTAATCCCATTCTTGAAAGGATTTTCTCTCTGCCATAAAAATTCATTCTGGTTTGAAAACTGACAAAGTCTGAAGCTGTAAGGAAATTTATTTTCAAAGATCTATTTAATTTATCTTAAATTATGCAGCTGTAACTGAAATATAAAGTCTTACCTGTTTTGTGCTTGTATAACTCTCAAAGTTTCAGGAAAGTTAAGTTTATTCTGCTTTTAGTGGATATTACCATCTAAGGCTAGGATCTGAAAAGGAGCCTAAAGATCAAGCAGCGACCTCTCTTTGGCTCCTTTGAAAATCCCAGCCTAATTGATCATATTTTTGGAGGGAAATGTAACCCCACAGTACAGCAAAAGTATTTATAATCTGCGTAGCAAAGACAAAACAAAGCAAATTATTTTTTCTGAAGTATTTTAATTTTAATTAAAATCAATTAAATTTTAATTTTAGGTCCACAAATTCCCCACTCTAATTATTTTTTGTATCCCAGAAATATTTTAATTTTACACCATTACTAATCTTTATATACAAATTGTCAGACTTTCTCTAGATCTCTTTTGGAAGAAGTGCAGCCAGGCTGCACATCTGTATTACCCTCCCTTCTGCTGTTATAGTTATATGCAGGTTCTTTCTCTTTATTAAAGTAAAAACTAAGTAAAAAATTATAAATCTTCTGCTTACAAGAATGACTAAAGTGGAAGTCAGTGTTAGTCTGATACATACCAAAATAGTCCAATGGATTGCCCATTACATATTATTTAGCTTTTCCTGTCTAACTCAAGTATACAAATATACGAAAAGAAAGAGAAAAAAACCCAAAGTTGGAGAACTTTGGTGTTTTTTCTCTTTCTTTTTGTATATTTGTTTGTTTAGATGCATGTTATACCTATTTTGACCTCATCTCATATGCTAAAGAGATATTTGGGGTACCTTCACCTTTGTATACTGTGATTCCTTCTTTCAGGTAGTCACCCTACTAACTTGTTTTATCCTATGGGATCTGAGTTTAGTTTTGAATTACTGGGTAGCTCTTCCTTTTAAACCTTTTCAGGATTGCCTTTCCAGTTTTCAGACTTTCTGGAAGAAACCGATTCTGTATGTATAACCAACAAAAAATGTATTTAAATTCATATGCTGGTTTTTCGGCAGCACTTAAGTCTTTCTACAACTTACCTTTTTGAGGGTGGAAAGTTAAGCTTTGAAGGGATGCCACATGAAGTTAAGCAGACACTATATGCAAGCATTAGTAACTGCACATGGCAGGCAAGTCTGATATCAGTTTCCACAGGCGTGATTTTCTCTCTCAGGAGTTTTTATTTTCTTTAAAACCCCATTATTAATTCCTTGTTGGATTCTTCTTTCCACCATTTAATCATCAGGGCTTTGGATAGGAGAAAAATTGGAGGGGAAATAGAGAATTCACCTATAACTTACTTGAGTTTTGCAGATTAGTCTTTTCTACAGATTCATGCTCATATTTCATCTTCTCATTTGTCTTGTGAGCAATCAGTTTTAAGAACCTGAAGGGAAAACTGACTGTATGCCTTGGTGGGCATGTTAGAAGTTAACTTACATTGTCACAGTGTGAAGTTGCCTTAGGTCTTGTCTACACTTGGAGAGTTTTGATGGTTTACCTCTATCAGAGTAGGTAAATTGGCAAAACCCTTGGGGCATGTCCATATTTCTAACTAACCAGGTAAGCCAGCAGTTACTCAGTTACTCCCAGGTTTAAATGATTCTGATGCTCAGATATCCTAGAACAAGGATTTCTGGAATTGAATAATATACAGAACTCTAAAGTTGGGTAATCCAGTTATACTAGTGCCTCTTATGGTGACATAACTGCAAGACAGACAACAATCGTGACTTTGAAATTGTCTAAATCTCTTTGGTAAGTAATTGCCTGTCCCACCTCCTTGGAACACACTCTCGTTAGGAATACTTTATTCCACATTTCCCTGAATAGATCAGAAAAAAGCAGAACTAGCACAGATGATAGCGTGAATAATGAATGTGAGGTGAGCCAGGTTGCTCTATTTACATACATTTTAAGTGTAAAGAAGGAACTATTTTAGTCTTTCAAGTAAATAATACAGTTCTAGCCTTTTGCCTTCTTGTGTCCTAATCTAAATTTTACTTGAGCACAGTTTTTGGTTTTATATGATACGGTTTTGGATAACTTTTATAGATATTTTCTATGACATTCATCATCCTACTAGCTAAATAACATTCATGTTTGTTGTCTCGAATTGGTTACAAAAGAAATTTAGTAGTTATTTTGTGTATTATAGAAATGAAATAATATATTGTAACATTTTCCTGTAAAAGTTTCCTGAATTCCATACTGTGGACACGCCAGAAAAATCACTTTTTCTGTCTTGGGTTGAGCTGTCTTGGTATGAATGTTGAGCAGATTATTGAATTTGTTTCTTATTGACCTTTGACGTTTACTTCCATATCTTCATGGAAAAATTGGCATTTCAAGTATGGCTAGTACTTGTATTTTAAGAACTCTTTAAATAAGGAGTGTATTAGGTATACATATTTTACATTGGAAATATATGTATTTTTAATCAAGAATGGGAGCTCCTGAAAGAATGAATTGCACTGGCCTATCCAATGAACAGTTGTGTAGGGAAGTCATTAACCCACTGTCCTTTCTTTCCCCCTTCCTCTTTGGTTTTGTTTTTTTGTTTTGTGGTAGTCTGACCCTTGGTTATCATTGCAGAACTATGGAGGTGCAATGAGACCCCCACTGAATGCTTTAGGTGGCCCTGGGATGCCTGGAATGAACATGTAAGCAAAATAATAATCTACTTAAACCTTTACAAAAATAACCATTTCCTTTTTAATGAAAAGATAATAACTGTTACACATATGTAGGATGAAAGAGAATGTGCATTAATTGAGTCATATTAACAGTTGTGTTAAAACAAGGAAACACTACTATGTTCTCACTCTTCTGCAAAGCAACTGTTACAGTCTCTTCTTTTCTCCATCCAAGTGTGGTCAAATGTTGGATTTTTTTACAGGTCAAGATCAAAATATTAGGCTATTTTGTTGGTACGAGCTCTCTGTATTCTTTTGTATATTTATTAAGAATCTTGACAGTAGTCAAGATTGTATATTTATTTCACTGACTGAACAGTAAATCTGTTTGCCATGAATTCTCTCACACAAGAACATTGTTAAAAACAGCGTAGGTGTGATTGACATATGCAAAAGTAAGGAAGTGCATAGTTTGGATAGAAGGAAGCCATTGTTTTTAAATTTAGAAAATGGGTGAATATTAAAAAAGACATGTCCTAATTCTGCACTGTTACAACTTTCTTTATTTTGTGTTGAGACACTATTGTGACTTCACTATAACCAGATAAAACCTGTATAATGGAGTGGACAACCAGGTCTGAGATACTTTGGCATACTGTTTGGCATAAAAAGGCTTCTTGGACTAGATTATCAGTTGATATAAGGCTGTGTAAAATGATTACACCAGTTTATACTGCCTCTAGTTTTTGTTCACCAAGTTTATTCTTGATCCCTGTAGACAAGTCATATTTTCTAAGCCTGCAGAGTAACTTCATATATCAAACAATTTCACTTTTTTTTTCTGGGATAGAATAAGTTAAAGCTAAGGATTCAACATAGTAAAGGCACAAACTTGGAATCTTTGGTGTTTTTGATGGGTCCTATACTTTCTTCAAGATGATATTATGGCTGACAAGCTAGGAAAGACCTAATGTGTCCCACACATTGATTACTTAGACTTACACCTGCATAAATTCAAAGACTTTAAGCCAGAAGAGACTATTATAATCATTTTCTGTATAACAGAGGTACAAGAATTTTTCTTATTAAAGCCCTATTTCCACTTGAGTTAGAGCAGTTTATTACAACAATGGACTGTGACTTCCCTACAGTCAGAGATGCAAGACAATGAAAATGTTATTACAATTTAAAACAAAGCAAGTCTTCTTCCATGGCTTCCTACTACTTCTTATGTCTCAGGGTTGAGTTTTCAAGAGGTTTACAAAGAAACATATGTAAATTATGTAGACCTGTTATCTTAGCATAACTGCATTTTTACTCTTTTATAGTACTTTTAAGTGGGTCAGTTATGTTTTTTATTTCAAATGAAAGGTTGCAAACCTAAAAAGGTTGAAAAACATTAAGCCAGAATGTATCTTTTAGAGACATCCAGTCATGATTTTAAGATTTCAGGTGATGGAAAATCTACACTGTCCTTGTTTAAGGTCTTCTCATCTTCAGGCAGGTCTTGAATTCTTGAAGCAAAGAATATCAAATACAATCTAGAGTTGGTGTTATGCTATTGCAAATATATTATATTGTTCTTGGAGCCACCTGAGATATATTCAATGTAACATCCCTTCTTTAAAATAAAATAATATAAAGAAAATAGCTAAGTGCTTGAAATCAAGCATGGATACAGCACAAATAATACATTCCAAAAATAGTCCTCAGGGAAGAGGGCACTGGGTAGTGTGGGGCCCCTGCAAGACATGCTTGGAAATCTGGTGTTCGCACCAGACAATAAAGCTGACCTCTTTAACAAATTCTTTGCCTCCATTTTTCTGAGCAGAGACAGGGACATCCACCCCACTGGGATTCCAGACGGACTCAGGAGAAGCACCGCCAGGCCTAGGGTCAGAGAGGACCTAGTCAGGGAACTTCTGGTGGGACTGGATGTGTTCAGATCAGCAGGTCCAGATGATCTCCACCCTAGGGTGCTGAGGGAATTGGCAGAGGTCATTACGGGACCCCTGGCACAGCTTTACAAGCACTCGTGGTGCTCTGGTGTGGTGCCAGAGCATTGGAAAAGGGACAGTGTGGTCCCCACTTTCAAAAAAGGAAGGAAGGAGGACCCAGGAAACTCTAGACCCGTTAGTCTTACCTCGGTCCTGGGAAAGCTCTTTGAGAAAATTATCCAGGAGCCCATATGTGAGGGAACAGCAGGGGAGATTATGAGTAGGCGCAACCAACACGGGTTCATTAGAGGCAGGTCCTGTCAGACCAACCTGGTTGCCTTCTACGACACGGTGACAAAAGCCTTGGACACAGGTGTCGCAGTGGACATAGTCTTTCTGGACTTCAGGAAGGCCTTCGACACTGTCTCTCACCCCATTCTCATCAAAAAATTAGGCGACTGTGGCGTCAATGCCTACACAGTCACATGGGTTGCAAATTGGCTGGAGGGCCGCACCCAGAGAGTGGTGGTGGATAGGTCATTTTCGACTTGGAGGGATGTGGGCAGTGGGGTTCCCCAGGGCTCAGTCCTCAAACCTGTACTGTTCAACATCTTCATCAGCGACTTGAACGAGGGGTTGAAAAGCACCTTGTTCAAATTCAAGGATAATACTAAGATGTGGGGAGAAGTGGGCACGCTAGGAGGGAGGGACAGGCTACAACTAGATCTGGGCAGGTTACAGGGGTGGGTGGATGAGAATAAGATGGGTTTCAATACTGACAACTGCAACCTATTGCACCTAGGGAGGAAGAACCAGCAGCATACCTACAGGCTGGGGAACTCCCTTCTCGTCAGTGCAGAGGCAGAAAAGGATCTTGGAGTCATCATTGATGCCAAGATGAACATGGGCCGGCAGTGTGGGGATGCAGTCAGGAAGGCCAACCGCACCTTGTCATGCATCCACAGATGCATCTTAGGCAGGTCCAAGGAGGTGATCCTCCCCCTCTGTGTGACACTGGTCAGGCCACAGTTGGAGTACTGTGTCCAGTTCTGGGCACTGCACTTCAGGAGGGATGTGGACAGCATTGAAAGGGTCCAGAGGAAGGCCACTTACATGATCAGAGGGCAGCAGGGCAGGCCCTGCGAGGAGAGGCTACGGGACCTGAACCTGTTCAGCCTCCACAAGAGAAGGCTGAGAGGGGATCTGGTCGCCGTCTACAGACTTACCAAGGGGAACCAGTGGGGAATGGGAGAGACCCTGTTCCCCCGAGCACTACCAAGGGTTACTAGGAATAACGGTCATAAGTTGACTGAGAGTAGGTTTAGGCTAGATAGACATCAGGAGGCGCTACTTCACCGTCAGGGCGACTAAGAGCTGGAACCAACTTCCAAGGGAAGTGGTGCTCGCTCCTACCCTGGGGGTCTTCAAAAAGAGGCTAGGTAGTGGTCATTTGACCCCTTCAGTCTTTCCTGCCATGGCAAGGGGTCAGACTTGATGATCTGCTCAGGTCCCTTCTGACCCTACCAACTATGAAACTAAGAGACTCCATCACAGAAAAAGAAATCCAGACTTTTTATTTAAGAAATAGAGATGATTTAGTAAGAGAAAAGTAGTGAAAGTTAAAAAATATATTCTGAAGATTTCTATACACGTTAGAAAGAATTTATTTAGGAAAGACAGGATAATGTGGTACTGGCACAGAAGACAACTTTTTTGGTTCTTAGCTGCTAGTAAGCAGAAAATGAAAAAGATCATGGTTGAAACATTAAAATTTCTATATCTCAGTAATAAGTAATGCAGTTTACCTTGTGTCAAGGCAGTTACACAACTAAATAATCATCTTTTTAAGGCAGCCACACAAGAAGCAGGAAACTTCTTATTTTTCTTAAGAAAGCTAACAACATTTAAATCCATGTAATCCTACAGCTCTTCAGCAATACCATGGAGCTTTTTTTGTTTTTCTCTGCCTTGAAGTTTCCTCCATGTCCTGTACTTAATTTACAAATTTCAGCAGTTTGTTAGATGCAAGTCAAGTGAGCTTGAAATGAGCTATCAGGTATCAGATGCAGTCTGGCCATTGCTGCACAAAGTATAGTGCAGGCTAGTTTATCCTGCTGCTTATGGTCTGCTGAACTCCTTGCTGTCCTAACTAGACTGCTTCCAACACTTGGAGCCAGCTATTCAAAGCTAACTGGAATATCGCTGCACTATACTGCAGTGTGAACATCTCCTTAGTTTTTTTAAGCATTTACATTAATCCAAGTACTACGTGCTGTGCAATATTGTGTTTACATTCTACATCACATCAGTGTTTTGGATGAGGAAAGAGCTACAGTATCATGATGAGTTTTCTTAGATGACAGGGACCTAGAAATCTAAGTATCATGCATGGCAGAAAATAGCAAGAAGCTGAACATCTCACCTTGTAATTACTAGCCAGGGAAGGCTTGTTAAATATTTGTCTTGAGCCTGCAAGAGCTGCTTGTGTCAGGCAATTCCTTGCATGAGAAGCTATGAATGCTTTTTTTCCTCATACACACAACTACACAAGACTGCCTACAGTCACTGTCCAAGTCCTTTATCCAGATATCCTCCAAAAAGCATGTTGCATAGATGGCCACATACAAAGTAATGATGTTTCATGTCAGTACAAGAACGAAAAAATGTAAAAAATAATTTTAAAAGACACAGATTGACTTGAAATGACATTTCATAAGGATCAAAACAACCCAAAAAAATCATTTCAAGGTGAAGGATTTTGTTTTGTTTCATGTTTTTTAACTCTTTTTAAAACACTTGTTTTAATGTGCCGGGTGGGGTGGGGGGTTACTATTTATTCACTGATTTAAACAAATCACTCAGTTCTAGCTATGCCTCTTCCCTAGAGTAGTACATATTTTTCCCTAGCTTTGCGCTGATATGCATCATTGTATTTCACAAACAGCAATGTATAAGGAACATTTTACATAGTTTTCAGTATTGTTTTGGAAATATTTTAAATATTTTAAGAACAACACATTCCACTAGGAAAGTTTTGAGAGACTCTTTATCAATGTCATGAATGCTTATCATTGCTGTGTGAATAATACTGAGAAAAACACTGAAGACTAAGCAGTGTTGGGTCATCATTTGATTCCCTACATGCAATGAAGGAGTTTCGATCAGCTAATTGCTTTATCTTAGCAACAGTGTAATAAAAGTTATTGGGAAATATTCAGTACACAACCACTGAGACATCCCAGCAGGTGTTAGGTTTGCCTTCATGTAGGAATGCAAAACTAAGTGGTGTAGAGCAGCAAGTGGCACATGAATAGATGTGAATACTTCCAGAAAATTAAAATGCATTATTAATTATATTTCTTGTTGCATTCTTTTTATCGCAAACAACTCTTTCATAATCACTTATGAAGAACCTAACAGTTCTTCAATTTTGTCAATAGCATAATACATGATTTAGGAACTGAGTTGGGATGAATCAGTTTAGAAACTGGTAGAATTGGGTATGAGAAAGGAAGAGTCTTCAAGGACAATTTTCTACAATATCTAATTACCTGTTTAAAGGCCAGTGATAATCTTGGATTAGTTTAATACTCTAAATGGTCTGTTTATCATTTGAAATCACACTTTACTGCAGTGAAAACTGCTTTGATGCTACCAGAAGAGACAGCAATTTCAAAAAGGCATCTTTTTGCTTACACAGTGAACAGATTGTTCTGAAGTTACACCACAGAGCAGTTGACATTCAGCTTCTTGGTAGCATAGCTGCTCAGAAGCCAAAGTTTGTTTGATTAAATCCTCATCTGCCATTTTTTTTGCAGGGGTCCAGGAGGTGGTAGACCTTGGCCAAACCCAACAAATGCCAATTCTGTAAGTAAATATTATTCAACAAGTAGAATAGTCCATGCCCAGTTTTGTTTACCATTGTACTTTCTGAGGCTAGTGATTTCTACTCTTTCATAGCATGAAATAATATATTATAAAGTACATCTCCTAGTTTACCTTTCTTCTACTTTTGATTGTGGATTCCTTTTGGATTCCCAGTTACACAACAGACCTGCAGCAACTACATCACATGTTCAAATAGTGTTCAATATGTATTAACTTATTTTAATACAACATAGCTATCAAGGTAGCATAGGAGTCCACAGCTTCTGATCTGTGACCTCTATAGACAACAATTTGAAAAGATAAGCTGTAATTCTCTAGTTGCCTTAAGTTGTTTTGTTCTCTTCTTCATTCTCATTTTACAAATTATTCTGTTATTTGATTGCAAGCCTCCCTGCACTTTTGGTTGGAAGTGTAGCATAGAAATCAAATAAATACATAAGTAATATTGCCTCAATAGTTTTTATAGGGAAAAAGCGCATTAATTTATATGCCCGTTAACATCAAATTATAGAGTAATCTCTCACAAGACATTGTCCGTTTTGATATTTTTAACAATTGAATTCTGGCCCACACTCTTGAAATTAATAGGTTGCAATAGCTACAGTTGAAGAATAATTAAGGAATGATTCAGCCTATAAGCTATACTGACTGCCAGTATTTGAAAAGATACAGAGCTCAAGAGTTTAGTTTTAGTAAACATGATGAAGACTGTCATAATATGTATCTTAAATTCTTGAGTAAGTTACTTCTTAGCATATATAATAAGCTCAGGGGATTCTGCTTGTGGATTCGCAGTTCATTCTGGACTGAATAGGAGGGAAAGTATTTTTGAAATGAAGACTCAAATTTTGAAAGCATCTCCCAAATGGCCTCTAGCACTTTTTGTATTATCTGCCAGAGCCATGGTAACTTCACTTCCAGCTTAATTTTTAAGAGCTTCTTGGTGCTGAGAAATTCAGTGTTTCTTTAAGCTATGGTTAATGAGCTGCCTATGATCTTGCTGCCACTCCATGGAGTGCTGACTGGCCACAAAGTGTTAATTCTCTTCCTTTTTCTGCTTCAGTTGAATTACACTTTAAAAAGCTAGAAATGGTTTAAACGCTCTTCTTATTGTATATTTCCATAAATTATTTCTAATGAGTGCAAATGTATGCTTCAGTGGCCAGGTAAATCATGAATGGGAAAGATGTAGCCCGCATTATGAAAATGCTTGAGACCTCTTGCATTAGACACATTTATATTAAGTTAGTGAAATTCTTGTTTTAGCCAAGTGATGTTCCAGTTTTAAACTTCTCAACACCATCTTCCTGAGCTACTGCTCAGTCACATAGAGAAGGTCTTTGAAATGCCTTTTTATAAAGAAGAAAACTAGGTTACTTCCCACAAAATAGCATCTGTAACAGATCTCTCTATAAGCTGGATAATAATATTTAATTGGAACATTCACATTCTCCTTTTGAAAAGAAAGTTCCTTTCTGGAGTTGAGAGAGAGAATATCATGATATTTCCTAAGGTCAGACTGAGAGAGAGAGAGAATACAAGTATTGCACTTTATAGCCTCGATTCATTTTAAAAATAAGATATTTAAGTCTGTTCTTTGTCAGGATAGCATGTGAACCTTGTTTACTTAGTTAAGTTTTGTGTTTAAGATAGAGGTGTTAAAGTCATCTTGCCCTGTGAACCAGTTAAGCAGACTGGGGCCAGTTCATGCATCCCATGGAGCACCCCCTCCCACCCCGCCACATGCCAGATCCAGCGCCTGCTCTAGGACCTGCACTGCACACCACACCCATTCCAGTTGGGGATGCACACCACACTTGGCAACCATTTCAGCAAGTCCAGGATCTGCAGTACTCACAGCATCTACCCCTGGCAGTGTGGGACTGTGCTTCATGCAGCGCACATTCCAGCCAGTTTCGGATGTATGCTGCACACAGTGCCTATTCTGATCAGTCTGGGACAGGTGCCATCTGAGGCACCCGCCAGAAAACCACATGCAGCATTGGTCCCAAAGTGGATGCCATGTGCAGTACAGTCCCAGACCAGCAGAAGCATGCACCACATGTAGCATAGATCCCAGACAAGCCAGAATGGGCACTGCATGCAGCATGCATCCCAGGCCCTGCAGCCAGAGCTTGTCCAGCACACCCCTCAATGATCTTCTGAGGTCCCTTCCAGCCCTAATGTCTATAAAATCTATGAAACCCCATTTGGGTCAACTACCAGACCCAGGGACAGCACTGGGGGCCAGATAATGGAGGTTTCCAGGCCAGATCTGGCCCATGGGCCATGTCTTTGACACCCCTAGTTTAAGTTCCTCCCTGTACTGGGGCTGAAACATTTATAACTTTGCAACTTACTGATGTGTTACCCTAGTTTGTTGTGGTTTATGCAGGTGAAGCATGAAGCTTGTAGTAGTATGGGCAAGTGCTATAACTGATAGTGCAGAAGCTACTAATTAAGATCTTGATCCTGCAAGCAATTCAGGCTATATATGGCACAATGCAGATACCTGAGCTAGGCCTGAATTAGCTAGCTTTTGCACTGAAAACATCTGTAATAGGGCATGATAGGCTCATGGTCCCAGGCCAGCCATAATGCTCTCTGGTGGTCTTGCAGCTCCTGCCAACTCAGACTCTAATGTCACTCTCTGTAGATTGCTTGCCCGCCAAGCCTTGTTCTTGTTATTAAAGGTTGATTAAGGGAGACTGTCCACGGGCCTTAGAGTGAGCCTTAATCTTAACAATTCCCCACTGGGTCTCTCCTATTCCCCACTAGTCTCAGTCCAGCCCTCAGGTCTGATATGTCCCTCTCGGCCTGACTATACACCTGTAGGGCACCCATAGCCTTAAGAGGAAATTGTGTGGCTCTGTTCCTCCCCTACACTACACCCCAAACCTCATGGATGTTATCACTATGATATTCAATTCACATACTTGGCCCCTTTTGGCCCTGAGACCCCCCAGTCTCCTGCTCAGCCCCTCTCTCTGGGCTCACAGACCCCCAGTCTCCTGCACAGCCCCTCTCTCTGGGCACACAGGCCCCCCAGTTCAGCTCACAACCCCTCTCAGACTCATGAACCCTCATCTGGCCCTTGCCCTGCCCCTAGGCCCATTGACCCTCTGGTCCGTCTGTCCATCAGTCCCTTGCTCCTGTGCTCTGCCTGTCTTTATACCTTCTTGGGCCTCACTCCTTTTCAACCCTCCTTGTCCCTGGACCCTCTGAGAACGCTCCCAGTCCTTTCCAGGGCTGGACCCCACTCTCAGCCCCTGTTGGGCTGCTGGCACTCTAAGTATGCCTTGCCTACCCTTGCAGGGCTGCAGGCTAAACTGCTAGTACAGCTTAATAATGCACACCTGCCCTCTGGCAGGCACTCAAGCTTTCTCTAGGCTTAACATAAAACAGGGGCATCTGTCCACATACCCAAAGTCCTTCTCTGTCCCAAATAGTTCTCTGGTTCCCTGCATTGCAGAGTTTCTTATTCAGAGCCACTGTCAGTTCAGGAGTCCTCCTGCTCTGCTGTCAGGAGCTCCTCTCTCCATAGCAATCAGAGCAAGACTACCGGACTGGTGCAGGCTCTCGACCAGGGATAGGCAACCCCTGGCATGGGTACCGTACTGTGGCACATGAAGGCACTTGGCTTGGCACATGTGCCTCTGGGCAGACAGTGGGGAAGGGGTTAGGTCTGTGCTGCTACAACAAAGATCGGACACCTTGTGGCTCCCACACCATCTTCCATGTCACACCAACATCTTATGAGTCAAGGTTGCAGGTGTTTTTGGCACTCCACCCAAAAACATTGCCTACCCCTGCTCTAGGCTTATATATTTCAAGCCTGTGCCCTCTTCTGGTCATGTGAGTTTCTCATTAGCCCCTCTTTGCCACCTGCAAGCAGCCCTTCTTTGCCACCTGCAAGTGCCTTGATATACAGGGGTTGACAACCTTTTTCCCATGGAGAGCTGCTGTTTATGACCCAGCCCCTACCTCAGGCCAGAGGCTTGCATCTCCTGGTAAACAAATGATGATGTGAAGGAAATAAAATAAGGTAGGCACTAGAACCCTGGGGATGCCTCCTCTGCTGCATGGGAGAGAATAAACTGAAGATGGCAGGCTCTAGAACCCCGGGGGCCTCCTCTGCCACCATGGCTGGAACATCTTACCAATTCTTTTGGCTACCATGGGCCAGATCCAGCCCATGGGCCATAGGTTACAACCCCTGATCAGTATCCACATTAGCCTGAGCTGAGTCATGTACACATGGCAGTGCTGTGGGTTACAAATCTATCTATCTACACACACACACACACACACACACACACACACACACACACACACACACACACACACACACA